TACGATAACTGTAATTTTGCAACTGTGTCAGTCGAGTAGATGGAGGTCCACCTTGGGAAGTATTCCACTGTTTCAAATCTGGATTCCATCCTAGCTCACCATAAGGGAACAATACCATATAATGCAATGACAAATAGGCCAGATGACACTCATTAATTTGCATCAAACCATTATCTCCTCTCAAATGTAACACAATATCTCTCATTCCACTTGATTCAGTTCTATCTCCCAGTAATATTACCGCAATCTCATCTGTTGTTGGGAGATTATATCGATGCCGATCTGTTACAGAACTGTAGTGAAGATAGGCCGATAAATTCACCCCGTCAATTCCAATTCACTTAAAATTGTGTGAGCTTGTCAAAATTTCATAGGAAATGGATTTACTTGCAATAAACAATCTTAGATGATTTTCAAAACATCTCTTCTCAAGTTAGGATTTCTGTTACTGCGAACATCTAAAGTTGAATTAGGATCATAAATGTACAATTGAGAGTAAATTGGTTCACACCCTGGCTGTGACATAAGCGATCCTGTTCGATGGCGTAATTCTCCATGGATGGTGAATGTTCTAGGCCCCCTCCCAACAATTAATCTGTCATCCAAAGTAGCACCAAGACTCGTAAACGCATTAGTTGCATTATACTCTCGTGTGTGCTGACGAAACGATTTTGATTGTTCATCATTGTTGTCATACAATGCTTTAAGCATTAAATGAGGTGCAATAAGTGGAGGTAGTCTAATCTTTCCTTGTAAACAACATTTACCAAAGAGAGGATTTGATACAGATGATTTTGTTAATTTTTCAGCAAGCTAGTGTAAGGCAGAACAATGAGGACATGTTCGATTCATCAAGCCGAGGAAATGACGATCTGGAATTTTATGGTTTCGAGAATTAAGTGCAACATCCATAGCTACACCTTCTTCTACAGTGTAGGCACTACAGATAAAATTTAGATGTCATACAATTTGATTGTATAAATTGAATACAAACTTAAAAGGAGAACATGAATAAGACAGCAAGAGTGAGAATAAAAAATTAAAACTTATAGCGAACACTTGGTGCCTTCATTCGGATTGCACATTCGTTGGAACATGTTTATCATATCCGATGCCCCTGGGGAACATGGAAAGAATGGTTCCAAGACTGTTGTTATGCTTTTGTCTAGGTTTTGAGGAGGCAAGTCTTGGAGCATGGTAGTCACAGGCGACACCATTGAGATATTTGTTGGTGTGCCTTCTTCAAGATTTTGAGGAGGATTTTCTTGATTCATGATGGCCACAGACAACCACCGTGAAACAATTGTTGTAGTGTCTTCATTAAGATTTTGAAGCAAGGTGGTTGACGATGACTCTAAAACATTTGTTGTCACTATACTGTCTGTTACAGGATTGAAAATTTTGGTAGACAAAGTCATTGGTTGAAGGCGGGACCTTTTATTTGATTCTCGTTCTAGGCATGCTCGGCGACGATGGCTTGGTGGTAAAGAAGGAAAAAATCTAGGCTGAACGGGGGCACAATGTTTTGATCGCTCTCTTTCGTGACGTGCAAGTTGTCCCAATTGACGTTTGGAGCACTCATTTTCTTTCCCAGCATAACGCATTTCTGGAGCAAGCTTTGCACATTGCAGCAATGTTGATTTTGATATAACATTATAGTTTGGTGCCTAAACCACAAACTCATAAAAAAATAATTATTATTTTATTGATTTAACATATATCGTATTGTTTTCCATTTTGTATATATAACAACGCGAGGTAACATGACAAATCATAATGCTACAATGTTAACAGTAATACGGATCAAAAGATTTACTAAACTTTTATTATGTAACAGTGTTGCATTAACAGAACTATCTACCAAACCATTTATCAACATTATAATTATAATAAAGTTTTTGTTTGATACAAAAATAAAACACCATAGCCACAATTGCATCCAACACATTGTTTACTAATTATTGGACATATGACAAAAAATGCAATATCATGTTATACAATAACATGTTCTATAGTATTTATCAACATTATAATTATAATAAAGTTTTTGTTTGATGCAAAAATAAAACATCATAGCCACAATTGCATCCAACACATTGTTTACTAATTACTGGACAGATGACAAAAATTGCAATATCAGATTATAGAGTAACATGTTCTATAGTAATATGCTCGATCAATAGCATATTGAATTTAATAGCTTGAAAGGTATGCTATATATAAGATGAAAATATGTTTCAAACTACTGGAAAAGGTTGAAGTTTCATTATTGATCGATGCTTCAAATTATGGAATGTTCAAACAAATTTAGAGTTTTAAAAAATGGAACCCAACAAACGATTCAAAAGCATAAAGGCTACAAATCAACATTAAGATTAAGAAACTAAAACTCTCAACTACAAAACTGGTAAAAAAAATAAAAAATCATAGTTTCCCAGTAATTCAATTATATACACAGAATAAACCGATTAAAAAAATTAATATTAAATGAGACAAATCAAAAACATGTTGACAAATCAAACGTTCTACATAAAACGAAACATAAAATTTTTTAAATTCAATAACATCCAAATCCATTGTAAAAACACAGAGAAAAGAATAGGATTAAAAATGATATCAGTTGACAATCTTGATTTTTTGTTCCTTGGCTAGAAGCGGTTGCTTTTTCTTTCCCCTTAAATTTGGCATTCGCCAAAGCATTAGACCTTTTTTTCTCCTTCTGTGTAAGAAAATGCTACTTAAAAGCCAAAAAAAAAAATTGAATGAGAAATAGGTGTGAGAATACACTACCTCATGTATACAGAGACAATTTAGTTCATACTCATTGCGAATTACCACTCCTACATTATTATGACGAAGTCTTCGAACCTGTAGACCAAAAAAACATTGAATAGTAAATAAGCGGGTAAAAAGATTAGATACAAAGTAAGAAAATGATGAGTAAGAAAAACTTATCATACGGTATTTTCTAGGTCGTCATCCATCTGTCACGACATTAATAAAAATACATTAAAATAAATAAGTTATTAAAAAAATCAATAAGATATGTTTAGAAAGATTTAATCAGATGATAAACTTACACTGCCAAATATAACGACATCATCCATTGGTCGATGATTGTGCAGTTGAAACGGTTGTAACTACATAGTAATTTTCATAAGCTATGTATAATTAACATCAATTATAATGAAATTTCATACAATTAACCTGCATTTAATCAAACATAATACATACACAAAAATACATACACATCCAATTCCTAAAACCAAAATTAAGGAAAAAGACAACCTAAATTAGTCTATAAATTTTACAAAATGAACACTACATAATAACCAACTCAACATGCATTCCATCCTAACATTCATAATAGAAAAAACCTATTTCATCATAACTATAAACCTATTTCATAGTAAAAATAAAAATAAAACAACCTAACACTTGTAACTAAATAAATAAAAAAAAGACTTCCAATTAAACACTCAATTAAACGACACTCAATTTAAATGTGTGTGTGTGTGTGTTTTGTGTGGTGTTGTGTGTGTGTACTACTACTGTGAAAAAGAGAGAAAAAGAGATAGAGTGATAACACAAATTAAACACCCATTGTAAAAAAAGTCAAATTTAAAACGCTCAAATTAAACACAAATATTAAAAAACTGAAGCTGTCGTCGACTTTAAATATTCTTTGTATTGATTATTTTATAAGAAGACTTATAATGAAATAGATAAGAATACACAATAATAACTAACTCAACATCCATTCCATCCTAATATTCATAATAAAAAAAACCTACTTCATCATAACTATAAACCTATTTCATAATAAAAATAAAAACATCTAATTAAACACCCAATTTAAATGTGTGTTTGTGTGCAAATGTGTGTGTGTTTTGTGTGTTATTGTGTGGGTGTGCTACTGCTGTGAAAGAGAGAGAGAGAGAGAACACAAATTAAACACCTATTGTAAAAAAAAGCCAAATTTAAAACACTCAAATTAAACACAAACATTCAAAAACTGAAGCTGTCATCGACTTTAAATATTCTTTGTATTGATTATTTTATAAGAAGACTTATGATGAATTAGATAAGAACACTGATCAATAATAACCAACTCAACATCCACTTCATCCTAACATTCATAATAAAAAAACCTATTTCATCATAACTATAAACCTTTTAATAAAAATAACCAAATTAAAAGACAACCAATTTAAATGTGTGTGTTTGTGTGCAAATGTGTGTGTTGTTGTGTGTGTGTGTGCTACTGCTGTGAGAGAGAGAGAGAGAGAGAGAGAGAGAGAGTGAGAACACAAATTAAACACCCATTGTAAAAAAAACCAAATATTCTATGAATGACCAACACTTTTCTTTTATAGCTCTCCCAATCTTTGCCGGCTACTTTAATGGGCTAGGAAAAAAAGCATTTTGCAATATTGAAAACACAATACACTCTAGAACAAAACCAAAAGATCATCCAAAAAAGATCTCTGATAACCCATTCCTGAATCAATTTCACAAAAAATCATTTCAAACATTTCAAACATTTCAAACTATGATAACCCATTCCATAGGTAATGAAAAATGATAACCCATTTCAAACTATGATCTCAACTGATTCGGGTTCCTGAATCAGTTATCAAAAAAATGATAACTCATTCCAAAAAACCATTTCAAACTATCATCAAATTTCACAAAAGAATCGCAAAATCTCACAAAAGATTAACCCATTTACAACCCGAAATCAGTACCCAAATCAGTTGAGATCGAATAAGTTTTGTGTAAAGACTTGCACATTTGGGGAGGCTTAGGAATGATGTGGGTTTGTGGAATGATGTGGGTTCGGCCTTCCTTCATCCCTCCTTCTTCTTCTTTTTTTTCAAATGTCTCCCTCTTCTCTTGCTCTGCTTCTCTTCTTTTGCCGCCACCTCCTGTTTTGGAAGAGGTCTTGAAGGAAGGGTTATGGGGAAGACAGAAAAGGGTTTGAGAGAGGATAGGGTTTGTCAAGGGGTGGTGACGGTGGCAATGGCTATGACCATGGTTGCTATTGGGTTATGAGGAATACAGCCGACGTGGGTTGTGATGAAAAGCCGAAGAGTCAAAAAGTCGACATGGCTCACCATGTTTCCTCCCCTCTTTTGTCGGCGGAAGCCATTCACAGCCACACCATAATCGCCCCAATTCTCTCCCTCTCTGTCCAGTCACACCCTAACGGCCACTTCACGAAATCAACCACAAACACTGATCGGCGTACGATCACCCACACTGCCACACACCCACCCATCACCAACACACACCCCCACATCGAAGTGGGTCTCCATTAGCCATTAGTTTTGGTTTGATGTGAATTTTGGGAATTCGGTTTGACACAGTGGTTTGATGTGAATGTTGTGAATTCAGTTCGACACAGTGTTTGAGGGTTCAATGAACCACAACTACTATAGCTTCAACGAAATTTCCCAAAGAGCTCCAAACATCAAAGGTTCAAATGATGGGTTCGAGTGATACTGCTGTAACTGGAAGGTAATTGGTTTGGGCCAACACATTTTTTCCAATTTCATCTATTAACACTGCTTGGCTTTTAACACTGGTTGGCTTTTGTGTTCATGAGCCATGGCAGAGGAATCACAACGAAAGAGAGGGGGAGAGGGAGGTACCTAGGCTGAGCTTGGTGAGCCGCTGTGTTGATCGCCGCTGCGTGCTGCCGCTGAGCCATGGCAGAGGAGTGAGAGGGGTGTGGGTAGCAGTGTAAGGTTTCTGGGTAGTGTTGAGCCATGAGCCATGGCAGAGGAAATGACTGGGTTTGAGAGGAAGTGACTGGGTTTGGGCGGGAGGCAGAGAGTAGCTGCAGGAGGGGTAGCGTGTAGGGGGTGGGTTTGATTCGGGCGGGATTTTGAGATGAAATGTGAGCCTTTGGATTAAATTGGAAGAATTGAGATGAAATCTAGGTCATTAAATTAAAAGTAGATTAAATCTGAGCCGTCCTTGTGCTTTCCTAAATAAATTAAAATTGGATTAAATTTTGAAGTAAAAATAGATTCAAATTGGGTTCAATCTTATTAGTATAGATGCCGATTCTAAGACCGAAAATAGAAAAAAATGTTAGATTACAATTGTTTGATTTTATGATTCAATTATAAAATCTTTCAACTGGTTCTTAAAAGTGCCTAAAAATGCTCAAGAACATGGACACAAATAATAATTTAATGATTGGATTCTATGAACAGGAAATTCAAGATTTCTAATCACCATTTATCAAACAAAATTAGAAAAACAATACTACACCATGGCTTTGCATTCAAACGAAACAAATTCAAACAGTCACAAATAAATAATGTTAGCAAAATGGAACCTTTGACTACAAAGTAACAAACTTATACAAATTCGAAAGCATAATCAAAATTTACATAACAAATTCGAGAGTGTGGCATGTTGGAGCTTCCGTTCTTCGCACCAGTGGGTACATGTTGACGCTAGAATAAACAAATGTTTAATTTATTTATGAATGAAAGAAACTCATATCAATAAACACGAATAATGAATGAAAGAAAGAAACAAAAATTAAGCCAAAGCGGCAACAAAAATTAATTTGTGGATAATGAATGAAAGAAAGAAACCCATATCAATGAAAGAAACAATTAAAAATTAGAAAGCACTTTCACTCATATATATCTAAAAGAAACAAACCCATATCAATGCTTTGTGAATAGCAGATGGAAGAAAATGTTCAGGAAATTAAAAAAAAAAAAGATCTTTGATAACCCAAAGCTTCAACCAACCTTCAAAATGATGAGCTTAGGCTGAGAATGCTGAGCGAAAGAGAGGAGGAGAGGGAGTTACCTGGGCTGAGAACGCTGGTGTTGCTACTGGTGTTGCCGCTGTGTGCTGAGCCATGACAGAGGAGTGAGAGGGGTGTGGGTAGCAGTGTAAGGGTCTGGGTAGAGGGGTAAGAGGTTTGGGTGTGGGTATCACTTCCTCTGCCGCTGTGCTGAGCCATGAGCCATGGCAGACGAAGTGACTGGTGAACATGAGAGTAGCTGCAGAGGGGATAACGTGTAGGGAGTGGGTTTGATTTGGGCGGGATTTTTGTTTGTGTGAGATGAAATGTAAGCCTTGGATTAAGTTGGAAGAATTGAGATGAAATTTAAGTTATTGAAATTATAATAAATCTGAGCCGTCCTTGTGTTTTTCCAAATAAATTTAAATTAAAGTGAAAAAAGATTCAAAATTGGTCCTATCTTATTATTATAGATTGTACCAAACAAAACACAAAGTTCCTAATATTAAAATTGTTTCTTTCAGAATGGATAATGGCTCATTGTTGTTATTCGTTGGGCACATCAGACTGTTTGAGAGCAAGAAAATAAGTAAGGTTTAAAGGAGTGACACCACGTCATCCCTATTACATGTTACCGATAAGAAAATAACAAGTGGATCAAATAAATATCATTATTTTTATAATTATCTATAACTACCACATTCACGGAAAAATATGATATTAGTGAATTAGACAGTGACACCACGTCATAGTTGTAATGCAGTGTCACTTACCTTAACAAAAACTTGCCCCAACATTTTTGAGTCAACCACATGAATTTTCTTTCACCATTGTACTCTGCATCATGCTTTTTATTAAACCATAAACTATCAAATCTTTTTTCACTTACTTCGCTTAAAGTTAATTTCATTGGCTTAAAATTAATTTCGGTCTATCTGTACTCTACGCTCACCTTCAATATTTATCAGAAACATTGCCTGTATGGTGACAATTCTATTGATTCTGACAAACCACATGATTCTAGACTAGACAATCCCCATGAACATGGACGTTCGAGAGAGGCAGTAATACACAATAGAAACATGAAAGGAAGACCTTCTGCGAGTGAAATTTTTGGGTTTTCCATATCCTCAGGCAGTGATACCCAAACTAATAACAAGCCGCAGTAGGAGGGAGGGAGGGAACACTACCACTAAAAATGTACTGAATCAAGAAACTCAGCAGCAATTCGGCACAAGGCCCATGAGCATCACCCTAAAGATTAGTCATTGTGTGGACGTTGGTATAGGAATGTCTAACATAGTTCCAAACTTGACACCAAATCGATAGAGCATAAATTTTGCTTTTACAATGTTAATTATAGTCTCAAACTGGACTGCACACATTACAAATTTATCAAGGTAGAGACAACAACAAATATGTCTCTACAAACTTTTCAGTCCCAATTTGTAGAAGAAAAATAAACAAACCAACCATAATTCTAAGAAAACCAGTTTCTGAATTTTATGGAGAAAAGATTTCAGGACAATTATCAGCAAAACAAATACTCATGTGAATACGATCAGCAAACCTGACAATGAAACCTTGAAAGTGACCCACAAAAGGATTTATAGGGAGCAAAAAATGGTTGCATAAAATCCTACCAAACTTCAAGCGAGAGCTGAATTGCAGACACATACTCATGTATTAACAACAAAATACCAATTGGCAACAGTATCACACTAATTCAAAGCACCCAACCCTCGACACAATTATCATCATTCCCTCTTGGAAGTAAACATAATCTCTTCTAGTCATAAGAATGTGACTAATGTTGCTGGACCAATGCTATACATTTTGTAAAGTTTAACATGGAGTAGAACCACATGTTTCATTTCCTCCCACCAAATACATCACTTCCCATTGCAGAAATGAGGAATCAACACCTAGGGGTTAAATCAAATCCATCGTTAGATGATTATCATCCAAAATGCAGAGCCAACCTCATCCCCACTTGCTCTAACATCAAGCAAGCACTTTGAATTCCTTTCATTCCATAAAAACCTCTACTTAGATATGACCATAACACATGACTTTGCATTTGATACTCGGATAGAACTACTACTACAAAACTATAAACTCATCACAACTGTTTTGCAGTTAAATGCTGGAAAAGCCAAAATATGGACACCATTCTTAAGTCGAACATATTCAATAAAGAAAACTTCCATTTCATTCACATAGAGAAAACAACAACGGATTGACACAAAAAAAGAGTTGGAAAAAACCACACTCCTAGAGGAATTATTTATATCTCTACTGACGAGAGAACAAACCAAACCACTGACCACATAAACCTGTTCAGAAATCACCACCACGGAGTCGGAGGACAAGGTGCAGAGTAGACTCCTTCTGGATATTGTAATCAGCAAGAGTGCGCCCATCCTCAAGCTGCTTCCCAGCGAAGATGAGCCTCTGCTGATCTGGAGGAATACCCTCCTTATCCTGAATCTTTGCTTTGACAATATCAATCGTGTCGGAGCTCTCCACCTCCAAAGTGATAGTCTTTCCAGTCAAGGTCTTCACAAAATCTGCATTCCTCCTCTCAATCGCAGCACCAAATGCAAAGTTGACTCCTTCTGGATATTATAATCAGCCAAAGTTCTTCCATCCTCCAATTGCTTACCAGCAAAGATCAGCCTCTGTTGGTCCGGTGGAATACCTTCCTTGTCCTGAATTTTTGCCTTGACGTTATCAATTGTATCGGAGCTCTCCACTTCAAGAGTAATTGTTTTGCCAGTCAAGGTTTTCACGAAGATTTGCATACCACCACGAAGTCGCAGCACGAGATGAAGAGTCGATTCTTTCTGGATATTGTAGTCGGCGAGAGTCCTTCCGTCCTCCAGTTGCTTGCCCGCAAAGATCAAACGCTGCTGATCCGGTGGAATTCCTTCCTTGTCCTGGATCTTCGCCTTCACGTTATCAATCGTATCGGAACTCTCAACCTCCAGAGTAATCGTCTTGCCAGTTAGGGTTTTGACGAAGATCTGCATCCCTCCGCGGAGTCGAAGGACGAGGTGAAGAGTCGATTCCTTCTGAATATTGTAATCAGCTAGAGTCCGGCCGTCCTCGAGTTGTTTTCCGGCGAAGATCAACCGCTGCTGATCCGGCGGAATTCCCTCCTTATCTTGGATCTTCGCCTTGACGTTATCAATAGTATCGGAACTCTCAACCTCCAGAGTGATCGTCTTGCCCGTAAGGGTTTTGACGAAGATCTGCATCCCTCCGCGGAGACGAAGGACGAGATGAAGAGTCGATTCCTTTTGGATGTTGTAATCGGCGAGAGTCCTACCGTCTTCGAGTTGTTTTCCGGCGAAGATCAGACGCTGCTGATCCGGTGGAATTCCTTCCTTGTCCTGAATCTTCGCCTTAACGTTATCGATCGTATCGGAACTCTCGACCTCGAGAGTGATCGTCTTTCCGGTTAGAGTTTTCACAAAGATCTGCATCTCTGATCACAAAGATTTGCTTGAATTTGAAGAAGAGAAACGAAAAGTGTGAAAGATAAAGTTGGTAATCGAGATCTGAAATTGAGAGGATTGAGAATAGAGCTGGGAAGGGTTCAATTTATAGAAGGAATTTCCGATTTCGTTACGGAATTGGTCAATACAGAACAGAAGGGATATTTCCGGAAATATCGGGGAATTAAAGGTCAAAATAGTCTGTTAGCTTTGGGGTTAATTAATCCACACGTCACGTCTAGAAAATTCTAGTAGCCGTTAGATTAGACCCTTGCCACCATTATTTAATTTTGGCCCCACCTGATTTATTCTTATTTTCACTTTCTTTACGATTTTTTATTAATAACGAGTATTTGCATTTTGAACTCATAATTGCGAGAGTAAATTCAAGTACAAGTAATTATGTGCAAACTAAAAATATACATTACCAGCTAAGAC